TTTATAATGGCAGTGAAAACGTTAAAACATACAGTGTATGCAAATATTATATTATTTTGTGTGATTTTATTAATTTTTACTATTTATTTTTTTACTAGTTACCTAACTTAATGCCTATCCCTGTTTGTACGTAACGTTATGTTTTATTTTAAAGCAAAAATAGCACTAAGGAGAGGGCGACTTGTTTTTTCTTTCTTGTCCTTCATACATCTGCAGTTGTGTAATTTAATATAGTCTTTTAGTTTAAAAAAATATAAGAACATTTAAACTGAAAACAGTGCTTTACACATCCACAAAAAGAGAAAATACAGTAAAAACAAACAAACAAATGTCTTAAATTAAAAGTCATAACAGAGACGGATCTCGATAGCCAATGAGAACGCACAACGCAATACAGGCAGGTTTGTGAGCCAATGAAAACCGAGAGTGGGCGGGCGCTCTGTTGTTGTGGTTGACGGTTCACTTCCTGCTCTTCACGGCGTGAAATCAATAAAGTGCAGCAGCGAAAACTGAAATAGGAAGAGAGAAGAAACCCGAAGAGCTGGCAGCTTCAGTAAGTGCTCTTAAAAAAGATAGCTTTATGCTGTAGGTGTAAAGACTCTCCAGCGTTAGCCTGTCTGTGTTAAAGTATTAATGTATTAAAGTAAAATAGGTCAATGTGAAGGGAATTGGTTCACCCGCTGCTGCTCACAAGACTGCAGCATGTGATATCGATTAGAGACCCACGGGACGACTATAGTGCTCTTTTAGCCCCTGATGGACTGCGAGAGATGCAGGGAAATGTGAATTTAACATTAACGCGGTTATATTTTGACTGAAAAGCTCGATGTCGACTGTGTGATGATGTTTTGGAGGTGCTGTGAGTTGTGAGTGAAGGTTTTGGGTTGATGTGATGAACAAATGGGGAAGTTTTCTCTGGTCTTATGTAATGCAATGCTTGTTATACTTAAATGGTGAACAGAGAACAACTTTCTAGAAATTAAATAGTCCCTTTAGGAAAGATAGGTTGCTGTTGATGTTTGTATTTTAAGGTTATAAACACAAACAAACAAACAAACAAACATGTGGAATTCATCTGAATGTCTATAAAACCACATGTGCTTATTTATTCATTCATAAACAACATTTCACATGGGATAAATGACATTATATGCGAATTTCTGCATGTAAAAACTTTGGTTTATATGTCATATTACATTAGGGGAACAAACAATTATTTTTTTTATAATTGTTTAATCTGCTGATTATTTCCCGGATTCATTGTTTAGTCTGAAATTTCAGTTAAAATAGTGAAAAAGGCCATGGTGATCCAAAGATTTTCCATTTTACTGTCATATATTACAAAGGAAATCAACAAATCTTCACATTTGAGAAGCTGAAATCAGATAATATTTGGCTTTTACTTTAAAAATAATGACAGCTGACTAAGTGATTAATCGATCAATCTTTGCAGCTTCATATTACATATTAAATGTGCTATTTGACAATATATTTTACATGTGATTTACCCGGTCAGCTATCTATCTGCATGGATACATAACACATGAGGCAAGTGATAAAATGTGTGGCCCCTTTTTATGTGTATGAAAACCAAAAATCCCAATTCACGTATAGCCTCATATCATGATGTGGTATCTATGAACTGTCCTGCTGTAATTACGCTCTGTATTGTGATAGAAGATTGCTTTGGACTAGATTTAAATGCTTTTGAACCTTGTTTTTTTTTTTTTTTCAAATGGTAGGGGTCCTGCTGGATGAAGCGGTGGGGTTTTTATAGATTCAGACCATCAAAATAAGGGAAAAAACAGCAGTAAACAATTAGTTAATCTGCTCTCCAAGAGGTGAACCAAACATGGTGCACGTCTACAACTGCCATCCGTTCTCCTCGCAGCAGATAGTTCAGGTAAGTGGATGCCTGTTTTTTGTTGTTGTGTGTCTGTATCAGGTCTTAACTAATCCACCATCCCTCTCTGTGGCTCAGGTGGAGCAGGAGCCTGGACTGGTCTGCTGTGGAGGTGGAGCGCTGTTTGTGGTGGCTACCGGCGGATGCAAGGTTACCTGAAAATATTCCATTTTTAAACCATAGTTGTCCTGTTTTTGAATATATTTGTGTAAAATTAACCCTCATTTGTAGAACATGTGATACCTCATTACATTAACTATTAAAACGTTAGCATTATTCTTGTAAATAACCTCAGTGTAACCTCATAAAAACACAGCTTAATGTCTGCAGATTGTGAGTCACAGCACTCATCAGTTCATCTTTATTCAGTCTTTTGGAGATGAGAGGTTTATTCAAGAAACTTATGTGTTGTGATGTGTTGAACTGAAGGTGGAGGCCTACAGTGTGGAGAAGGAGGGCTGCCCTCTCATCTGTCGCTTCGCCACCATGGGCACCGTGAAGAGCATCCAGCACAGCAAGATAGGTAAAAGCATTACGTCTCTTCCTTTGTGAGCCTCTGTCTCCGCAAATCTGTGATTTAAAAAAAAAAGGAACAACATTTTAACATCCTTGCTTTCTTCTTTACCTCCTCCCCCTCACGTCCAGGAGATTACCTGGTGACCATTGAGGAAAAGAACAGCGCCACCTACCTGAGAATCTACACTAACTGGCGCTACCAGGTACACACTGATCAGCTAAGCTTTCCCACAAATGCTTCATATCGTATTGCTATGAAACATAAGTACACCCCATTCTGCTTTCTGTGTCTGATATGATTTGAGATAAACATATGTGCCCTTAATTCAAACCATATTATCACTTTCATGTGATTCTCATGAAACTAGAGAATAAAATAAAAACATAGCAGATTTTATTCAGCAAAATATAAACTAGAAAACCATTTCTTTATGAGAGTCAGATTCTCCATTGTGGCATTAACATTAAACCTGGTTTGAGTTGGTCCTGGTCCACTGATGTGTGTGGAAATATACCAAAGACAAATGAGCTGTCTCTTTTTAATGCTCAGCAGTCCAGTCTGAGGCAGGTTTGAACCCTTTGAAAAGCAGTTTGATGTCTTCCACCATCTGGAAGATCATCTATGGATGCCTGTCTGAATATGAAGCTTTTGTGGTTTCGTTTTTCCATCTACTGCTATATAATCCTTCCTCTTAGACTTCTTCTGTGTATTTTTACGTAGTTGTTTCTTGCTTTCCCTTCAGGCGGAGGAGAAGGCCCGTGTCGGGGTGCGTTTGTTGGGCCACCTGCTGCGTGGCGCGTCTGTGCGGGGCGGAGTCCAGATGGAGATCATTGAGATCCCTCTGTCAGAGCGTCCTGTTGCTGTGGCGTGTTGCTCCGTAACAGGAGACCTTCTGGTCGGATGCGAGAACACCCTGGTTCTGTTTACGTTGAGGAGACAGAACCAGCAGAGCCTGGTAAGAATTCAGCTGCTCACCTGGGAGTTTTCCTCCACTGTGGACCTTTTTTATATAAGTTATCTTGATTTAAATTACTTTAACACTTTCTAAAGTGTATTAATTGAAGAGAGAAAAGCTGTTTTATTTCATAGCAACAGCAGAAGTTTGGGATTAGTAGGTTCAAACCTACTAGTTTTCCAGGAAGTGACAGTTTTCTACAGCATTAAAAGGTCAATTTTATTGTGTCGTTGAGCCTTCGTGAAATATTAAAATATCAAATATGGTACATTTATCAAAAGTCTTTATCATGTAAAGCATGTTTTTGTCAATGTCAGTTTCCTACTTTAAACAATGTAAGTAGATTTTAATTGATACACTAAATGTTGCAGCGGCATAATGTTTCTTTCTCTGGAAAAAAAACCCAGCAGAATCAGAGTCAGCAGATCCTTCAGAGCACCGGGCCGAACACGCAGCAGAGCTCCAGTCAGAGTCAAGGTAACTCACGGAAAGTAACAAACGATTGTGAACACATTTTCAGACAAAGACTCCTTTTGTACCAAAACTTATCAGACAGTCTGTAATGTGTAAACTATAGCTGAGTATTCCAGTTACAGTGAACTATGCATATATGATTGTTGGTGAAGGAGGTACAGTTCTGTGATGAAAGAAGACTCTTACCTGCTTGTTTCCTCCTCAGACTGATCTATCCTGTCCTTGATTTTAGGTCAGACCTCAAGTTCAAACCAGAATGTTTCCATCCTGGATTTTGAGCGCTCAGTTATCCTGCATCTTCCAAAAATCAAGCCTAAACGGGTACTTTCAAGCACTTTTTTGTGTATTTTCTTCATAGTTCAATCTATTTACTTGAATGATAAAAAAAACAGTAGTTAACATCCATAGTAACTGCTGAGTATGTGCATAAAATAGGTATAATCCATAATAACAAAGTATAACTACTTTGTTGAGTTGTTATACACAATAATTAGAATCCATACTAACTTTGTATCTTACATTTTTTATCATATACTGTTGATATACTGCTCGTGTGAATATACCAGTATGCATAAATATGCTCAGACTGTGTATTCTTTAGTTAACATTAGTTAAAATTCTCTAAACAACTGAAATATCTTTATGATCAACAATTACAACAATTATAAGTTGGTAGCCTGGACTACACCTGGAACAGAACATAAACAGTGGGAAAACCCTAAATAGTTTAATTATAAAATAGTTAAATAATTAAATAGTTTCACTAAAAGAAAACTCACATTTGCTTTTGTTAAGGTATTTCTAGATTTCAGACAGCTACAATTGACAGTCTGTCTGTGGCCTTGGTTACTCTAACGCCTCCTCTGCCCCCTAGGTGGCACTGTGTGGAGGATATGTGGCAGTGCAGACGGAGCTGGAGGTGCTAGTACTGAAACTGGATGCATCCTCCGAACCTAAAACCGTGGAAGAATCATCGGACACAAATAAAGGTTGTGACGTCGTTTGGGATTGATGCTGTAGCTTTGATTACTGCTTTTATTTTTCTTTGTATGATATGAATTTAAGTAACGTGCACCAAGAAAGCCACATAAAAGAATACAAAATAATATCTGACCTGATTAAACGAAACCACTTAAAGGTTCAGTGTGTACCACACGAGAGAATCATTTGTGATGTGTGTGTCTGTGTATGTGTGTGTGTGTGTGCAGCAGATCATCTAGAAGACCAGGCTGACTTCCTGCTCCTTCCGAGACATCAGGAGTTGCTCGGTGATCGAGCTAAAGACTGCGACATCCCTGTCACCATTGAAAAGACCGGGCTGGAGGACAGAGGACAATACACACTATCATACGTTCTCTTCAGGTGTGTGTGTGCTTTTTGTGAGCAGTTCGCCTGTTAGATCTTTACAGTGAGTATATTTATGATACGTGAGGTGTTTTCAACTTTGGTCATTTCTGTCTTGCAGGCGTTTCACTCCAGACTTCTTCCAGGGCTGCAGTGTGGAAGAGACTCAGCTCCATTCCCTACAGCTCTACCCGCTGTTCACCAGTCAGTACAGCAGATAGGATGAGATACACATAAACACTGACATAGAGAGAAACGATGTCGGTATAAAAGCAGCATATGTTGTCCTGGGAACCAACCGTACACCTTAATTTTTCCCTACTGAGCTGCAAGCTCTGTTGCAGCAAATCCCTGCATAACATTCACTGCAACTCCCATCATTCTTATAACATTTCAGCCTCACCTTTCAAGGTCTGTTTTCCTGTTGCCAGTTGCAGATTATCAGTGGAGTTTCTCTGCTTTCAGAAGTTTTATTCAAATATATAATTGTCAACATCTTGAAACAAGAGAGAATAAAGCTGATTGCTGCATTCTTATCAATACAGTGACACCTGATTCTAGGATATTCATGAAACATTGGACTTGATTTGTAAATCACAATCCGTGGGTGGCTAAGCCCAGCAGAGTAATTTAACTGTTTCTCTTTAAGTGTAGGCTGTTTAGTGTTGGAAATGGTTGATTTTATGTCATACTTTTTAACTGGTTAAACAGGTTTTTCAAGTTTAAGACTATAACCTACAAAATAACATGGAAAGAGTAAGTAGTTATATGTAAATGTGTGTGTATATGTAAGTGTGTATGAATCGGTAACCACAACATTATTCACAAAACTCTTGCCTCTGTCTTTCTCTCTGCAGGTACTCAGTCAGCCTCTCTGGAGGAACCAGCATGCATGTTCTGCTTCTTCTCTCTCCCCAACGCCGGCTACCTGTACAGTCTGAAGGGTGGTGTGGAGCTCCTCTCAGCCTATCAGTATCCAGAGAAGGTCCTGGAGGCGGTGCTAACAGACTACCTGCTGCACGTCATAACCAAGTATGTCTGCAATCTGACTCGATAAGGAAATCAGTTAATCTTCACACATCAGTGTTGATGAATTATTCAAACTAACATTAAGTAAAAATGAAAGACTTACCTTCATTCAAGATGGAATATGTTTATTACTGTAGTCTGAAGATTTCTGTTTTGGCAATAAGTAAGTTTGTATTTTGATTTCTGTGCACGGTAGGAATGCATTGCAGTGTTTCACAGTGCGCTGTGCAGCAGTAGCAGCCAGGATCGAAGACCCCTACATCGATACCACAATGAAGGTATGAGCCTGACATTGCTTTGTGGCTTCTTGATTAGTTTACTATATGGTTCAGTCTTGCCACTCTACCCAACCCTGTTACCTGCAGCAGCAGGGAGGTGCTTTCAATGTGCTACTTGACGCGCACCCAACTGCAGACATACAGAGTTATCAAACAGGTGGGGAAGAAAGTGGAACATTTAGCAGCTAAAGAGTCAGATAATATTTTTAGGAGTTGGCAGAGACCAAAATTCAACTAAAGAGAGAGTGAATATTACAGATATTACAGCTTTATTTGGGGATGATATGTCAGGTGGTGGATTTGTCAGCTTGTACAGTGCCTCTGCCCTCTTGTAGCTATTTTTGTGAGTGAATTATTTATTTTGTACTTTGTGTCTGTCTATATCTGTGTCTGTGTGTGTGTTTGAAGGCCTGTCCACCCTGCAGCCTGGAGGTGTGTGCGCTCAGGATGCAGCTGTTTATTGGTCTGCGATCAGTGTGTGTCTACGGCCGCCATGTCATCCTGCTCTCCACCGCTGACACAGACACACCTGAGGAGACCGAACGCATCACACAGCGCAGAGGCCTGTAAGACACACACACACTACAGCACACTCGGGTACCACATAGCAATACACATGAGGGTTATCACACACCCAAACACAAACACAAATGATTATCATAAACCTCTTAGTTTAAAAGGCTTCATCGGATATGTCATCAGATTCCTCCCTGCGCGTACCAGAATACTCTGAGAGGGATTGATCAGCACTGGTGATGTGTGTGTGTGTGTGTGTGTGCGCGTGTGTGTGTGTGTGTGTATGTTATTTTAGCGAGTCGAGTTTGAAAGAGCAAACCATGCTGACGGTATTTGTCCCTGGCCGGTGGGAAAATCGATCCCGCAGACCACTCAGCTCCTGGAGAGCCTTCCTATCACCCCCTTCCTGTAAGAACAAACCCCCAAACCCCCCCCCCTCGGTTGTCTGTTGTCACTTCCAGCCAAGCTGCAACGCTAGGAAAACCCTCAAAAACCAATTCACATTAATGGATGATTTATTAACCGACCAGCCGTTACGTTTACTCTTCAAGGGAAAATCTTGCACCGGCGTTTGGCATTCTATTTCACCTTTTAATGCTCAACAAAAAAGGCTTTCCCTCTCAGCTTTCCGTTTAAGAAGTGCGTGTGTGGGGCTTTTCATTTCCGTCGCGCAAACACAAAGCGGCCTGACACGCCAGCTTATATGAACACTGGACCTTTGGCATGTTTTTCATACGTACATGAAAATGCTCGTGAAACCAAGTGGACACAAGTTCAGCATGTCAAAGGCGTATCCTCCGTCAGTCTGAACCGTTTTGTAAGCGGAAGTAAAACGGTACAACTTTATTCCAAAAGTGAAAAAGGTACCAAAGTAGTCAGAGGACCCATGTGTAGAGTGTGACGGTTCAGAAGAAATCAAGGTAGAGAATTGCTCCTTGACGCATAAGAAAAATCTAAAATCATTTCATGTCTGGTCAAATACGTAAATTCCAACCAATTTAATTATTAATTATTTTATTTATGTGAATTTAAGATATAAAGTTCTGTTATTAATGACCACGAATTGTGGATCTGGTATAGTGACCTTATAATTGGATTAATAAGAAGTATGCGGTGAGTGACCTGGATTAGAGGAAAGACAACATAAACAAAATAACAACCCCAGCGATATTCGAAAAACTAGCCTACAAAACATGATTTCAACTAAACCATTTTCTTTTATTAACAAATTATCACAAGCACGGTCACATTTTACTATATTGTCGTTTGGGACATTAGTTTGTGCGTTTTATTGACAACTTTCTTCATAAATACAGTGCAACGAAAAATCAGAATGTAACCCATTTTCCTTAAAAACCTTAAACACGGAAATTAAAGAGATTAAGGATTTTAAACCTACACCGTAATTTATTATCAGTGGTTCGGCTTACAGCTTGTCGACAAAGTGACAAACACTTTTCTGTTTTACGCGTAAACCTATAACCCATAATTACATGCGCTTAGTGTGGTGTGTGCGATCATTGCTCACGAACCTAAGTACTTGAAAATAAACACGTGGTGGGATCTTATCCTGCTAATTGTAATCAATCAATTGCTCGATTGCACGAACCACAACAGTAAGCATAGAATAATAATTCATGCAATGTGCCATCCCTGACCTGTTGTCGCTTGGTAGCTGTCTCCTAAGGATTTCAACACTTTTTAAGGTCCCAGTTGTCTGCAGGACTTTAAGTGGCATCTAGCAGTGAAGTTGCATGATTTCAACTAACTGAACACCGCCCTTCTGTAGTCAACCTGGGAATCGAGAAACGGGCAGTGTGTGAACGTGTCGTATGGAGGCCCGTTTTCTACAGGCCCAAGTTGTTTTGGTTTATCCATTCTGGGCTACTGTAGAAACATGGTGGACTCCATGGCAAGCGCCGACCTTGTGGCGTCTCTTAGATACGAAACGACTCATTTCATAGTAATGAACCAACAACAACGATGTTACTATATTCAGTGATATACACTCAATGAAAACAATACCTGTGAACTATTATATTCCGCTTGTGTGGCAACTCCCAAAATGTTGCACACTGGACTTTTTAAAAAGTGTTCTAAGCTAGTGCCCTTTCTCCAGATATGGGTTACGCGGCCAACAGATGGCAGAAGCAGAAAGTACCTTGCAGTATTTCAGCTTTGGACAT